GTTAATATTTCACATTACAAGAACGTTTTACAAAAATATTCCATCTCCTCTGGCCTCAATGATGTTCTTCTAAGGTGGCTGAGAGAATGTTCTTTCTTATCTTGAAACATTGTGTCAATGTTTTATTTAGAACGTTAGGGGAGACCGGGTATGGTTGTAACATGGGGAGAGTTGTAACAACACCATTTCCACCTATCAGGGATAAGCTAGGAGTCCTATGATCATTTCATTATTTACCCACTTTCACCCTGATTTTATATGAATGGTTGTCAAGGCTGTAAATAGGTATATGCAGATTTTATAAAGAAACTGATTTTGATGTAAACATTTTTTTTTTTACCAAAACTATATTTTACTTAGTACGTAAACTGTTGCAGATAAAATCATATAACTTGCATTAGAATAAATGATAGATTCTCAGGCAAAATGTGATGCATTTTTACACTGCTAATTTCAAACCATAATGCTAATACAGCTAACTAAACATTGGATGACAGGGGTGGGGTAAATTGTAACACATTTTAGCATTCCCTTACATAGAACTGAGAACTTTCATGTTGTCTATATGAAGCTTTTCTGGCAGCTCAAAGCCAAAGGAAATGTGGATAAATGTGCTCTATGCAGTTTTTGGATCCACCAAGTCTGCACTCTAGGGTTAAAAACATTGGTTTGTCACCATTGTGACTCTGATTGAGAAAATGTATACATAGTCACAATCCCACACACAAATGTACACAGTTCTTTGTTAGATCTACATATTCTTTACCTTGGTACACTAAAGTTGAGTGTTCAGTAAGCATAAATACCGTTAAGGAGGTTTGTTCTACTAGTCTAATTTACACACATACACGTACACACTCCCGCATTAAACTGAAAGTGGATTTGAGCTGTGGTCATTCGTAGAAAGTGTGACATTGTTTTGTATAGTTCTTTTAGATTGTTTCAATAAACCTGTTTTTGAAGCAAACTTTATGAGGTGGCTGCTGTTTTTGCTTCTTTTGTCTGACTGTTACAACTCTCCCCAGTATGTGTTACAACCTACCCCGGTAGCGGGGTAGATTGTAACAAAGGCACTCCATGTATTTGACATCAACTTATAAGGGCTGTGATATACTTGCAGATATTTGAATTGGTGCCTTTTGTAGTGAACAAATGTGGGTACTTTGTATAAACGTTTGAGCACTCTAGCTCAAAAATTCAGCAAATTACAGATGTTACAACCATACCCGGCCTACCCCTATATAATCTGTTACCTCAACAACATCCACAAAACATCTTTAAAATGTCGCAGATAAAATGTTCTAGCTTTGTTAATACGTCACATTACAAGAACGTTTTATAAAAACATTACACAATCTCAGGCCTCAATGATGTTCTTATAACATTCTCCTAATGTGGCTGAGAGAATGTTCTTCCTTTGTTATCTTGAAACATTATGCCAATGTTTTATTGAGAACATTATATAATGTGTTACATCAACAACATCCTCAAAACATCCTCAAAATGTTACAGGTAAAATGTTCTAGCTTTGTTGACACTTAACGTTTTAGGAACATTATCTGAAATGAAAAACATTCTTAAAACATTTTTTGAACATTACATTCAAATGTTTTCTCTAAAACATCAACCAAACCTGTACGGAATGTTAGCCAAAGTTATGAGAACATTCCCTGCTAGCTGGGATGTAGTTAATAAAGTCTTACTTGTACCACACTTGAGGTTGTTAATTGTTTGCTCATAACTGGAGTCTCTAATCATGCAGATTTTTGCTACATGCTCTGAGTAGTATTGTACAGTAAGAAAGTTATTTTCCTTAACCAGGAAATTAACGTTCTTAGAATTGACAGACAGTTGACACTGAGAGGTCAAGTAAATACTTACAGCGGATCTAAATATTTATAATTAATTAGAACTAGTTATAATTAATTATTCATATTTTCCCTTTGAGCTGATTCGCTACATATGCTAAAGTGTATTACTTTTTCACACGAGAAAGCTTGAGTTTAATTATATTTTTATATACTTGTATGATAAGCATTTTAGAGATGTGTTGGGTTGACACAGCCAGGAACTTCAGACTGGACTTCCTCCATATTTTACCCTTAGTGAATCAGTTATATGCTAATTAGAATCATAGTGTATTTGTCTTCTGGTATTTAGTTAAAATAGTATTATCTGTCAAAATACCTCCATATTACTTCTCAGTGCTTAGGATTTTCATGAGAGCACTGTAAGGAATAAGTTCAAAGCTATAATGATCTAAACGGTGTCCGTTTTAATTCATGCTCTCCCGTTTCTGACAGTTTTACTCACTAATGGTGCGAGTGCTCCTGACTCATTGAAGTAAATATGAGTTTCCACCGGCAGTCTGTAGATTTCTCCTGGAGGTTTTCCAGTCCACCTGGACACAATACCACCTGTTATTAACAGAGCTAGACCACACAACAACAAATGTAATTACTGACCTGACCTCTACTTATTCTAATCACCCTTGCCAGGCTGACAGCAGTAATAATGTGTGATTTATAATTGTTCTAGCAGTCTGAGTGTGTATCACACACACACCTGTGTCGCACAGCAGCTCCTGGTAATACAGCTGAAGCTATCACAGGGTGAGCAATGTTAAAGATGTCTATTTCCATCCAGCACACAGCGCAGGGCGCAATTAGCTCACGTGCTAATACAGGATCTCTTCTGTGATGTAGCAGCTGTTCCCAGGCACACTTGCACGGAGCCACCCCATGTATGTTTCACATTGCCCTGAAGTGCACACTAAATAGAGCGAATGCAACATGCTGACACTTGGGTTTAGATGGTTGTTGTTCCAACGTTTAGCAACACAACAGCTTGGCCCGTAAAATAATTATTGTTATGGATTGAGTTGTCTTGTCAGTCTGCGAGAGATGCTGCGTGAATGCGTGGTTGGATTGGCGTGGGAACCCGAGAGCTCATTACAGCTATGGAGACAAACAAGCAATGAGCAAAATAAAATCCCATCTGTTTTTCTTTTAAATACTTCGCCTTCTCCAAGAGATCAAAGCTGATCTTAGTGCTTTAAAACATTGGTTCACAGCTGACTGAGATCTTCAGCTCATTAGGAGAGAGATCCATGAATTGAACGTAGTGTGTCAGATAGTTCTCAATCTCAATCAGGTGTGTTAAGAAAGGGAGACATGCAAAATGTGCAGAGCAGAGACTGGAATTGGGAACCACTGCTTTAAAACACTTCTGATGCATGTCTGCTTTTTAATGAACTTATTAGTATCACAATAATTATTTTATTAAATTATTGCTACACTAATATGGATATTTTGGACCAATTAAAAAAAATTACTATAGCTGAATTCATTAGTTTTTTTTTTTTCTTTTTTTCTTTTAATTATAATTATGGTTTGGTTCAAACATAAATTGTTTTCGTTTAATATATATACTGTAAAAATTTTTGCTTTTTACAACTTAATTTCACTGTAAACTAAAACACAAAATTAGCTATAATATGAAAGTGGAATTTAGAATTTTCACTTAAGATAAAAATGATAAAACTTAAATAAAAAGTAATAATAATAATAATAATAATAATAATAATACACTATTATTAAAAAAAAACAAAAAAAAAACTGGGCTTCAAGATTTTGGAGAAACTTGAAAAAATAAAAAACCTGTTCTTACTTTTTACAAGAACAAACCCAAGTCTCTTTCAGTAAGAATTAAATAGGTTTTTATGTATGTTTGTATGTATTTATTTAATCTTTTCCCACTTAAATTTCCATAGGCTTCATTGGATAAGGCCAATATAAAAATGCACTAAATAAATGACGTTCCCTTTCAGTCGGTCACTCTCGACGTCACATCGGTGACCGACGAATTGGGATCTCGCTTAGAGAGACCAATCCACTTCGAGTGTAAACTAAACGAGCCAATGCACATTGGCATGCGATGCAGCTGCTGAGCATAAAAAGGCAGTCGGTGCAACACATACCAATATCTTCATTTGTGACGACGAGTTCAACGCGCTCTAGGGAGCTTTTGTGTTGGTGGACGGCGCTTCAGTGGTGGTCGTTCCTGTGTCGAGTGGGTTGCGCACTTCATTTCCCCTGGGCGTTTCAGCACCTAAAAGAGCATTTCCCTGAAAGTGGAATATTTCTCTAAAAGAGCTTACATGGGTGCGTCTTTGTAAAGACGATGGATCGTCTTTTTAAAGATGCCATTTCACCTGTGCGTTTCTGGATGTGGTCGTTACCTGGCGCCGGGTGATGGTCGCTCATGTGCCTGGGCATTACACACTACTGCCACTGAGGTGGCATTCGTGGATGAGTCATGTTCCCATTGCGGGAAGATGACCATCTAGGAGCTGCGGGCCAAGCTCCGTTACCTCGAGGGGGGCGGAGTTCCGTTGCCTCTGCTGCGATCTAGTGTTCGTCCTGGCGGCAGCCAGGCGAGGGCTACTTCGGGCAGTAGCACGGGCGGTCTGAGGGTTACAGTGGTGACAAACCCCTCAGGGAACCAACCCTTTGGGGACCATCACTCCTCTAGCGCTTCGCAACCAGTCAAGCCACCAAAGGAATGCACTGGGCCCTCTTCAGAGAGCGTACCAGCGGTATCCTTCCGTGCTCCTCCTGATGACCGGCTGTCGATCACTGCATCGGAGGGAGAGCTCTCTGGAGAAGAAAATTCGGCTGCGCTGCCGCCCTCCGGGATCGGATCCGGAGATGACAGCTATGCTTTCCCGGGTCGCCGAGAGGGTAGGGCTCAAGTGGAAACCTCCACCGCGTCCCGAGCCCTCGAGGTTGGATGATTGGTTTCCCAGGGTGGCTCGCGCTGGTTCTCAGCGCCCTGCCCCGGTGCCTTTCTTCCCAGAGGTGCATGAGGAGCTCACCAGGTCATGGATGGCACCTTTTACTACCAGAAACCGACCTGCTGGTTCCTCCTCCCTCACCACCCTCGACGGGGGTGCAGCTAGTGGGTATACGGCGATCCCCCCAGTGGAGCGGTCGGTAGCGATGCAGTTGTGTCCTAAGACCGCCTCCTCCTGGCGGGGAAACCCGTCGCTCCCCTCCCGGGCCTGTAGGCATTTGTCTGGTCTGACTGGCGGTGCTTATACGGCTTATGGAGAAGCTGCCCTGTCTGTATCAGTACAAGGTCCTGCCCTTTGGGCTGTCCCTGTCTCCCCATGTCTTCACGAAAGTTGCGGAGGGGGCTTTTGATCCCCTCAGTGAGCAGGGTGTTCGCATCCTCAATTATCTCGACGATTGGCTTATATTAGCGCAGTCTCGGGATCAGTTGTGCAAGCACAGGGACCTGGTGCTCCTGCACCTGAGCCAGTTGGGTCTTCGGCTCAACTGGGAAAATAGCAATCTCTCCCAGATGCAGAGGCTCTCTTTTCTTGGTATGGAGTTGGATTCGGTTGAACAGACAGCACACCTCACAGAGGAACGTGCGCGGTCGGTACTGAACTGCTTGAATTAATTCAAGGTCAGGACAGCGGTCCCAATGAAACAATTTCAGAGGCCCCTGGGGCAAATGGCAGCTGCAGCGGCAGTTACACCGCTGGGGCTGCTTCATATGAGACCGCTTCAGCACTGGCTTCATGGCCGAGTCCCAAGGTGGGCGTGGTAGCGTGGCACTCACCGGGTCCAAGTTACGCCGGCCTGTCACCAAACATTCACCCCGTGGTCAGACCTTGCGTTTCTCCGGGCAGCAGTGCCCCTAGAACAGGTCTCCAGGCATGCTGTGGTTTACACGGATGCCTCCACCACCGGCTGGGGGGCCACGTACAATGGGAACACAGTGTCGGGGGTGTGGACGGGCCCCCAACTGCATTGGCATATCAATTGCCTAGAGTTGTTAGTGGTGCACCTTGCCTTGAACCATCTCAAAGGGTGCTTACGAGGCAAGCACGTGCTGGTCCGAACGGACAACATTGCGACCATTGCGTACATCAATCGACAAGGTGGTCTGCACTCCCGTCGCATGTCACAACTCGCCCGCCACCTCCTCCTTTGGAGTCGGAAGATTCTGAGGTCACTTCGTGCCATTCACATTCCAGGTCTGCTCAACCGTACGGCCGACGAGCTGTCACGAGCTACGCTCCCAGGAGAATGGAGACTCCATCCCCAGACGTTCCAGCTGATTTGGATACGTTTTGGAGCCACTCAGGTAGACCTGTTTGCCTCTCCCGAAACCTCTCACTGCCAGTTGTTCTACTCCCTGACCAAGGGAACACTCGGCATTGATGCACTGGCACACAGCTGGCCGCGGGGCCTGCACAAGTATGCGTTTCCCCCAGTGAGCCTTCTCGCACAGACACTGTGCAAAGTCAGGGAGGACAAGGAGCAGGTCCTGCTTGTGGTGCCCTACTGGCCCATTCGGACCTGGTTCCCGGAACTGATGCTCCTCGTGACAGCCACTTCCTGGCGGATTCCTCTGAGGAAGGATCTACTGACTCAGAGATGGGGCACCCTGTGGCACCCGTGTCCAGACCTCTGGAAACTTCATGCCTGGTGTCACTAATTGTGACATTTTTACTTGTTTCATGGCTGGTAACTTTTCTGTTTTTGCTAATTACATCAAGGAAGCTCCCTGTATTTTAGACTAAAGCTTATATATAACACACATTCCTATTGTGGTTTAGGTTTTTTCTCACATTTCAGTAAATTTATAAACTTTTCACATATTTTCAGGATCTCTTCGCGTTGGATGTGGAGCCCTACCGCTACAGCGGGGTCAACATGACAGGATTCCGTATCCTAAACACAGAGAACAGCCAGGTGTCCTCCATCATTGAAAAGTGGTCCATGGAGCGTCTGCAGGCACCTCCTAAACCAGACTCTGGCCTGCTGGATGGTTTCATGACAGTAAGACGCTTTTACACATGCCATCATGTGGCAACCATACACTGTTTTAAAACTGGGTAACACTTTATTTTGATAGTCCACTGTAGACATTCTCCTAACTATAAGTAACATGTCAACTACATTACCAGTCATTAGATTATTAGTAGACTGTCTGCTTAATATCTGCTAACACTTTATTTTGATGGTCCACCAACAGTCATTCTACTGACTATAAGTGACTTTGCAAGTACATGTCAAATTATTCTGTTAACCCTAACCCTAACCTACCAGTCTATACCTAACTCTAAACCTAACCTAACAGTTTGCTAATACTCTAACCAAAGTGTAGTTGCAAAATAAAGAGGGTAAGTTGACATGTTGTTGCAAAGTTACTTATAGTCAGTAGAATGTCTAAAGTGGACTATCGAAAATCAAGTTGCTTCTCATACAAAGTAACAAAAAGGAACTAAAAAGTAACATTATTTTAATACATATATAATAATTTAACATAGCATATGGTCAGCACACACTATATGTATCCTTGTTGCTACTGAACTTGTATTTAATGTCATTTGTGTTGTTAAAGAAGTTTTAGTTCATGGTTTTCAAGGATGAGGTCATGTGCCGCAGCCTATGTCTATGTCGATGTCTATGTTGGTATCTGTTTGACTTGGCTTTACCATGTGAAAGATGAATTTGTGATTGGACAACAGCATTAGACTTCAGCAATCAAAGCCACTGCTAACTATGCATGATTGCATGGTTAGTTGGATTTTAGTATTTAGCCTTTTTTTTCAGTGACTCTATCAGAACAGAGCTCAGACCGAAACCTCCTTCGGGAAGGATGGGGCTTCCGCAACGTTCCTGTTCAAAGTGGTACGGGTACGTTTTCCCTTTGTTATCCAATCTCACTGAGTGAGTAGTGCTACGACAACAGTGACTGGTCTTCTTGTTGCGAGCCCCAGCCTACACCAAAAAGGGGCGCAGGAGACTCGCACAGGACACTGGAAGGGGCAGCATCCATGGAGCTTTGGTAGGGATCCCAATTCATTGGTAGACACACTTACGCCTTGAAGTGGAACCTGTTCGTCGAGTGGTGTTCTTCTGACCGGAAATGCCCGATCGGGGTCGTGCTTTCCTTTTTGCAGCAAGGGTTGGAGCGAAGGATGTCTCCCTCCACCCTTAAAGTCTATGTCACTGCGATTGCTGCTAACCATGACCCTGTGGAAGGGAAGTCGGTAGGGAAGCATGATCTGGTCACCTACACCAAAAAGGGGCGCAGGAGACTCGCACAGGACACTGGAAGGGGCAGCATCCATGGAGCTTTGGTAGGGATCCCAATTCATTGGTCACTGGCATGACGTCGAGAGTGACCGACTGAAAAGGAACGTCTCGGTTTCATATGTAACCCTCGTTCCCTGAAGGAGGGAACGGAGCCGTCACGTCCCGTCGCCACTGCTGCTGTACCACCGCTGAGCGGCTGGGTCACCAGCTCGGCTCCTCAGCGAAAACCTGGTATCCGTTGCACTGGCTGCCTTTTTATGCTCACACTGTGATCAGCGGTAGCTGGATGCAATCATCACATCCCAATGTGCATTGGCTCATTTAGTTTACACTCAAAGTGGATTGGTCTCTCTAAATGAGATCCCAATTCGTCGGTCACCGACGTGTCGTCGGCAGAAGGGGAAGCCATCTCTTAGCAGAGGATGGCCCACTGGATTGTGGATTGCAAGCTCACTCTACTAGAAGTGTTGCATCCTCCTGGGCGCTGGCTCGTGGCGGCTCACTGACAGATACCCCAACACGTTTGCTAGATTCTATAGCCTTCATGTGGAGCCAGTATCCTCCTGTGTTCTCACCTCAAACGAGTAGAGGCACTGAGAGGTCCCGGTTTAGTGTCGGCTTGCTAAAACTGCTCCAGAGTGTCCATAGAGGGTTACATACGTTACCGAGACGTTTCTTTCTTTTTTTTTTTCCAATGTGTAATCCCCAACAATGACCACCCCAAATCCACTCTGAACTCTATACTGTATAGATTTCATATCAAAGAATTTTGTTAACACTTTAGATTAGGCAACACTATTCACTATTAACTAGTTACTTATTAGTGTGCATATTACTAGTATATTTGCTGTTTATTAGCAGTTATTAAAGCACATATTAATGCATGACCATATTTTAGATCCCTTTACCCTACCCCATACCTACACATAACTATTACAACAACGATCTTGCTTACTGTCAAATTAATGTGTTGCCTAAACTTAAGTGTTATTTAAAATTTCCTACCATCTTAATCAAGGTTTTTGTGAATTGTGCCGTCAGCACAGCCTCAGCAGCTACTACAGGCAACGCATCTCGCCAAACCACACTTACCAAGAGCAGACAACACAGAATGAGCTAAGGGTCCAGCTAAAGGACACATTCTTGCGGTCAAAGAAAGCTGGACTGAGCACAACTGAATATAGAGTTTTGAGACGTGTTTTTTCAAGGTTGAGCTATGCATCACCGATGGTACCAAGCAAGAGATCCAGTGACCAATGATATCCAGCTGTATATAGGTGTACACAAATCCACATTAAAATGCAAGAACATGTTTTGTGTGTACAGCTTTTTAAAATCAGATTGCAGGTTTATTTAGAGGTAGAGCACAGACATTGCATGGATGTCATTCTGTATTGTATTTATAAGCAATGAAGAGAGCTCAGTGTGTTTCAGAAGATTAGAATAGAAAGATAAGAATGAAATCTTCAAATGATTTCAGCTCACAGTGCTTCAGCATATAAAATTATTACAAGCCGCAGAATATCATATAAACAAGAAACGCCATTATTTTCGCCCGCCTATCCTTCGATTCGGTGATAAATTGCACATTTTCAGAGAAAGCATTACTGTTCCCTTGTCTCAAAATGGTTTCGTTCATGGTTCTCAATATTTTTTTCAGGCACTCGCCATGGGAATGATGACCGAGTATTACCACTACATTTTTACTACTCTGGTAAGTTATGTATGAATCTTTATATTGTAATTCACATTCAAAACCACAGTGATATTCATAAAATAATTTGGATTTCAGGCTATTATATGCCCTAAGTAGGAATATTAAATTTTTTTTTTTCCTGTGCTGTTTCCTTTTTTTTTTCACCACTGATGTATTTTACTCTGACTAAGGCCAAGAAAAAATTTAACTATTATTAAATAATTTTTTCCCCTATTGCTTGATATCCCATTTATAGGCCTAAGCTATATATATATATATATATGTCATTCTACTGACTATAAGTGACTTTGCAAGTACATGTCAAATTATTCTGTTAACCCTAACCCTAACCTACCAGTCTATACCTAACTCTAAACCTAACCTAACAGTTTGCTAATACTCTAACCAAAGTGTAGTTGCAAAATAAAGAGGGTAAGTTGACATGTTGTTGCAAAGTTACTTATAGTCAGTAGAATGTCTAAAGTGGACTATCGAAAATCAAGTTGCTTCTCATACAAAGTAACAAAAAGGAACTAAAAAGTAACATTATTTTAATACATATATAATAATTTAACATAGCATATGGTCAGCACACACTATATGTATCCTTGTTGCTACTGAACTTGTATTTAATGTCATTTGTGTTGTTAAAGAAGTTTTAGTTCATGGTTTTCAAGGATGAGGTCATGTGCCGCAGCCTATGTCTATGTCGATGTCTATGTTGGTATCTGTTTGACTTGGCTTTACCATGTGAAAGATGAATTTGTGATTGGACAACAGCATTAGACTTCAGCAATCAAAGCCACTGCTAACTATGCATGATTGCATGGTTAGTTGGATTTTAGTATTTAGCCTTTTTTTTCAGTGACTCTATCAGAACAGAGCTCAGACAGATTTTTCTGGTCATTATTTTAAGACTTTTGCCTGTTATTTACAATTGGTAAGTCATCAAACAGCATGATCTGAAAATACAGTCAAGGTGATAATAGTAGAGTTTGTTTTTAATTGATGCTGGTATGCGCTGCAAGAAGTTGTTTGCTCTGTCTGTGTATAGCACTATTCCCCAGAGAACTTGAACCCACAACCTGCAGGGTATGCTGCGATCTGAAGCATGTGACAAACAGGGACTCTGGTGTAGTGATCTAGTGAACTGTCTAATATCAGCATACTGGCAGTATCTCCGTTCTTCCTCAACAGTGGCTCTCCTATCTGGGAAAAGGGCCAAGATATGAACTCACTAGAGGCCGGGTGAGACGGAAACAGAGGAAAGATGAGAACTCACATACCAAAAAGATCCAGCGTGCCAAAATAACTCTCATGGGACACAACACAATGACACTTCATTGGACTCGTTCCTTTACGTCCTGTTTAGAGAGAAATTTACCCAACTATGATAAGTGAAGTCATGAGTTACTCATGCTCATGTCATTCCCAACCTGTCTGACTGTCTTTGTTCTGTGGAACTCAATAGGAGATATTTAGCAGAATGCAGGGAGACCGTGGGTGCTTAAAGTCATGCCTTGTAATCTAGGGTGACCATACGTGCCATTTTCTCAGGACGCGTCCTGACCAGGATTTCTATATTGCCTAAAATATCTAGGTTTTGGCTTTGTTTGCGTGTGCAGACCGATCGCTTTTCAAAATTTAAGGTAATTAAAAAGGCTCTTAAATACTTGAAATAAGAACATTGGTTGGGCTCATCATGGAGTGTTTTTGGAACAAGAGGAAACACAATGGTCTGACTTTTCAAAACACCTGGTCCTTGCTCCAGGCAAAATTACACAAGTCTGCTGCCTGCTTGACTTCCCAGTCATCTGGCTGTTTCCAATATTATGTCGGTTTGTTCTGGTATGGTTATACAGTAATAATTGTATTTGTTCCGGTCTTTAAAAGGTCTTAAAGGGATAGTTAATTGTAAGGTCTGTTTTGGGCTATGTTTCTTGTTTTCATGTCTTTTATTTTGTAATTTCATTCATGATGTTAGTGTCATGCTTCCCTTGCCCTCATGCATTTCTGCCCTGTGTATGTGTCATGTTGTGAT